AGCTCTATTTTCTTTCTTCTGTCCAGGTGGTGGAGGAGCTGTTGTCTCGCAGCGGAGCGCTAGGAAAGGAAACAGCCAAGAGCATTGCCGACGCAGCCATGCTGGAGGTGGCCAGCATTTCCATGGGTCACATGGTACGTTAGCTACAGCGTCTCAAGATAAGATTGAGTTGGATGCTTTGAGCAAAAGTCAGTAACTTCACTTTTTGTCACTCAGGAACCTGATGAATTCTATGAAGGAATCACTTTTGAGCATTTCCTCAAGGTCGGTACACAGAAGACACACTAACGTACTTTTGCATTTAAATCTGCAGTCATCCTTGTTGTGAGTCATGTCTGATGAACTGACAGGAGTTTGAAATAATCTACAACTGTGTTTCGCAGCTGCTGAGCGAATTTGAAATCGAATCCAGGATGAACATTCGCTTTTTGAACATGGACGCGACAACCCTGTGCAAGTGAGGTTGGTACACTAAGATATGCAGCGACTGTGGGGAAAAGTCAGACGATGCAAAATTCTGGTTTTCACCGTAGCGTTATTGTTTCCGTAGTTTTGCCGCTTGCACTGAATATATGCCTTACTCATGTTTAAATAACTATGCAAATCCAAAGACGACATGTATGCTGTGGGTGTATTAGAAGTAGCTGATTTGATTGTAAGCAATAACGTGACATAATCAGATTTAAAGATAAACTATGAATATTTCGACAAAGCAATAATAATCCAATATCCACGACTGCGTAACAGACAATATGACTATGACTATGCATGCAAATATGGATGCTTGAAGAACCTTGAACACTGTTATTGCCATAAATATAAACTCTCAGTAATCAGGGATGTAAAGGTTTGTCTTTGAATGTGTGGAGATGTGTCTCACGATGGTCGGACAAAGATGAAATGCCTTCTACTCATGTCACAAATATGACACTTGGTGCATGCTCTGCACACTATATTTGCACAATAAAAGATCCCATGAAACGGAACTGACTTTATGATGTGTATTTCTAAATGAAAAAAAAAAGGAAACGGGAGTGTTGTTGTGCAAGACGCTCAGAATGTAATCACGCCTCGTTTAAAAAGTGGAGGTGATGCAGACCTTAATAGAAGTTTTAATTTGCTCAGAAGCTGTTCTGCGTCACCGTACGAACGCTATTATTATCACCTGTTAAAGTTACAGCCGGTGATTAGCAGGAGGAACAGTCGATGATGGGAATGAAAACTCCACAGTTTCTCAAAAAAGTCAATGACTCGTGGAACCTTCACTAATTGCTTCATCTGTGGTAAACGTTTCCGTCCAATATTTTACACACAACTTCCCTTTAACAGTCCGAGCACGTCACAACAGGAGGTGAGTTAGAGAATACTAGAGAAAATGAGTTATTTTTACGAGCGGTTAAGTTCTATCTGGGAGACAGCGATGCGTCAAGTCTGACCCTGTGTCAGTCCAACACGCAATAAAAGTGTGAAATAAACATTTTGCTGCTCCAGAAGTTTAATGACCTCATATTAGAGGCCCAATTTTTAGATAATCTTCTGCTTTTATTGCTTGTTTCAAGTTTATTTTGTGGCAAATGCAATAATTTCAACATCAAGAACAATAATCGGAACAAAATAAAAGGAAAAACATCGAAATTAAACGTATAAATAGGAAGTGAGACGTATCCGGCCGGCTGTACTGTCTGAAGGCTGAAAGTGAGAAGTTAGAAACCATGAAAAAAAAAATGTTGACAGGAATAACCTGTGGTCTGGCAAATGTTTTCCACTATGTTTTAGGAATAATGTTGTTTTACTGAGATTGTGATTCTGACTTTGTATCATGTATTCAGTTGTTGGTGTATACCGCCCCCTGCAGGTGAAAACATGTAAAGCATGTTAGTACTGTTGAACTTGCACCTGACTCTGTAATGATCCTTCAGTGGAACTTCTATAGCCACAAAAAAAAAAAAAAACAGGATTTCTGACATACTTAATGTGTTTTTCAATTCAAGTTTTTCTTATGAGCAGCACAAGTCATAGAGACGTTACAGTTTTATATTAAGGAGAGAAACCTCCATAAGTCCAACGAGTTCAGGTTCTCAGTCATTGTAGTGATTTGATGCATCACTAGAATCACTAAAAATGTATAATTTGTGTTTTTACTTTACTAAGCCAAGCATTTTTCTTGATAAACAATATTAAAATATATGATTGTGGTTCAGGTTTAGGGCTGTAAGGTGGCTCAGTGGTTAGCACTGTTGCTTCACAGCAAGAAGGTCGCCGGTTAACGTCCCGGTGAGGACACCCGGGATCTTTCTGCGTGGAGTTTGCATGTTCTCCCCGTGCAGCGTGGGTTCTCTCCGGGTTCTCCAGCTTCCTCACACACAGTCCCAAAACATGTTGAGGTTAATTGGTGATTCTAAATTGTCCGTAGGTGTGAATGTGAGTGTGCTTGGTTGTCTGTCTCTAAGTGTAGCCCTGTGATAGACTGGTGACCTGTCCAGGGTGAGGGGAGGTCCTGGGATAGGCTCCAGCCCCCCGCGACCCTAGTGAGGATTAAACGGTGTATAGATAATGGATGGTTCAGGTTTGTATTGTTAATGCTTGTCATTACAGTTTATCAGATAGACCAGGATGTGTTTGATTCTGTAGAGAAACAGGATCCATCATATAACAGCAGGTTCTAAGTTTTTTCCATTTCTGAAAATCCCTAAAACTATTTGTTTGTCTTGAAATAACAACTTTAAATTGAGCTGGAGGTAATCGTGAACGGCTGTTAGAATGATAATGTTTCTGATTATGAACAGTAGAGTTTTACTAAAGTTGTGAAGCAAAGTTTCGCTGCACAGTTTCACACAAAGCTCTCCAAAGCTGCCTGTCTTTTCAATCTCAGGTTAGTTTAGGTAACTAGTCTTCCCCTGTAGCATCTGAGCATCAGAGTTCAATTTTAACCACAGTCTGACAGCCGCCGCCCCCAAAAAACCCCACTGGTTAGGCAGAAGTAGGCACATTTCTTATATGCTGCAGACTAATAACAGGTGATTGAGTGGTTGCAGCAGAAGGTTTCAAAGCCCAACTCTGTCTGGTTCTGTTGCCATGTGCTGTGTGTTGCCATTTAAACTGCACTGGTTTTACCTCCAACCAGCGAAAAAAGACAAAACACAGTGAGGACTTGTGACTCTATCTACTGGAGGAGACTTGGTGCCCACTGAGATGCTGTAAAGCATTAAGAGGGTAGTGAAAATAGATGAATAATGTAGCCTGAAGAATGACTGTTGCCCTGAGGTACCCTCTGTGTTTGTGCTTTAAATAAGACCAAGTTATAACAGGGAACTTGATTCATGACCCAGAGTGAATCCCCCATCTACTTCCAGTTTCCTGAGAGCTTGTGACCTGAGGAAAGTTTAGCAAAGAATTACTTCATTTCAATAAAAATATTCTTTATCTAAGTGTGCACGCAGGTATTAATAATGTTCTATTTAAAAATGGGTAATTCTGCAGGATTTCTTTGTTTGTTTGTTTGTTTGTTTGTTTCCCCCTCCCCACTCCACCCGGCACACACTCGCATCTCCATCTATATAAAGATGCAAGTGTGCAAACTTTGAACACATACAGTAATCTGACCCACACACTCCCACACCTTGTGACTGGCCAGACAGCCCGCCAGTTTCATGAAATCTTTCCTATCTGATGCAGCCTTGTGTCGAACACATGCGTCATTCTGAGCTGATATCACATAGTCAGCGTCTCAGCAGCTTCCTGATTTTCTTTTAACCCCTCTTGCTGGACTTGATTGTTTGCAGAAAACAACACACGATGCTTTTGCAGTGTTTTTGAGACTTTTAGTTAAAAAACAAACCAAAAAAAAAAAGCCACTGTAGAAAGAGATTTGTATTTAAGTTTACTCTTCTGAGACTGTCAGACATGCATTACTGATGCAACCACACGGAGAAATCAAAGGCGACAAAGAAGTACAGCTGCAAAGTATTTGCTTTTATATAGAATTCTGTGTACATCAAATAAGTTTGCAACTCAGAACCTTACATAACATTACACAAATTAAATATACATAACTTGCTGGGAGACATCTCTGCACTCTTTGAACAGCGTTCCTCTCACGTGAAAATAAATATTAAATACCATAAATAGGCTCCATTACATTGATGTACCAGCCATCTTCATACATTTTTAAGTCTTTTATCAGCCCAGTGAGTTCAAGTGCTGCTGGACTGTCTCGGGCGGTCTTCAGAAAAAGAGTGCGTTCATTTGTATCCTCCTTCTGCAGACTTTACCTTTTATATTGTTCAGTACTTTGGAAACATCTAACAGGAACTTCTTGTAGGTTTTCAGGACCACACAGCCGTAGACCTTCTGCTGGAAGATGTTCTGAGGCGGAGGTAGCGTCGTCGGTCCGCCCGCCGGCTCCGGTAGAGGCAGGTTTGGGAAGAGGCTCTGATAAAAGCCCTTTACGACAACAGCCAGGTTCCTGCTGCGACTGTTGACGCTGATGAGCTCAGCCAGCAGCGGGCTGCTGGGTGACTGCAAGTCCGTCTGCTGCTCGTACACTCGCGTAAAATGTGGGATGAACTCTTGGAGATGTGTGTAGATGCTCACTATCTTCTCGGAGGGATCCAGCCCGGAGATGTTGGGATCGGGGATGTTGTTCACCGACACCTCGCAGAAGAGATCTGACATTTCTCCTTGAGAGGCTTTCTGCACCAAAAAAGACAAAAGAAAAACACAGAATAAGACCCTGATAGAGAGAAGCATGAGCTGTCAGTGTGTTCTGTCTTGAAAAGGTGCTGTGCAAGCTGATGAGGCACAGCAAAGTGAGATGAAGCAGTTTTATGCCTGTACTCACATAAGTTTTGATTAGGTCGGTGGATTCCTTTCGTACAAGCCGGGTGAGCTTCAAAGTCTGTTGCAGAGCATTCCCACACTGCTGGTTTCTGCTTGCCGCCACAGTTCTTGTTGAATCAACAGCCATGATCAGCAGGAGAGAGAGTAATGCTGAGGAGAAAGGAACTGGTCAGTTATGGTTATCCTACATCCCATGGGTGAGGGGAACTTCATGTTAAAACCACAAGTGCAGAGCAAGAGAGATAAAAATACTTTCTTTACCTAGTAAGCATTCAGCAAGCTTTAAATAAAAAACAAAACACCTGAAGTCTGCTGTATTCTCTGACTTCTATCACTACATAGAGCTACAGCACGTTGAGATGCCTTCAAACGTTCTCAGTTACTCTTAAACTTGGGCAGATTCCCCAAACTGTTCAAAAAAAAAAAACTAATTTCATGCAGGAAACTGAAACTTTCAGTTAGTTTCACAACAGCTAAAGGTCAACCACAGTTTCCAAAAGCGTTTAATTCTATTACACGTTTCCATTAAATTAAAAAAGTAGATGCAATCAAACTTACTTGTTGCAGATTCCATAAACTGTTGAAAATTCATGCTCTTCACATGACCATTCATTCTCCTCTGGGTATCAGGCAAATTCTGCGGACTTGTCATAATCACACTCCTCTAAAACTTTTTAAAAAGACAGAAACCACACATTTGTCATAGGAGGAAATGACGTGCTCTTTGTGAGGCAACCAAATTTCCCAGAATTTCCTCCTCTCATTCGTGTGTGCATTTTTTTTTTCTCTCTCTCTCTCTCTCTCTCTCTCTCTTCCTCCCATATCAAACAAGTGGACAATGTCCCTACATGCCTCCACTGTGGACAGGCATGTAGGGGCATTGTCCACTCCATTATTACCAGCTGTGTGAACTTAGATTTTAGTGCAAATGTTTTTTTTTAACAGCACTTCCTTTTATTTGTGCACGGAAAATATATGTTTAAATCACTTGAGGAACAAAGCAGTGTAAGGAGATAATTTAAGGACTGAGGTCAGCCTCCCCTTTGACACCATTCGCTGCCGTGCTATCTACCTCCCTCTAGAGACTGTGGGTGAGTAGGTAAGAGCTTAGTCAGTGTGTGAGAGGAAGCAAAAGTGAGCAATGCACAGATCTGTATATTGATGATGCACCTTATGCATTTTTTCCTGTGAGGTCACAAAACCTGTAAAGTTGCTCGAGTTGCAACAGTCTCGAATCATCTGGCGTCCAGACGCAGCCATGATTAACTCATAGTTTATCCACAAAGTAATCAAGAAATTCAAAGGTAGCAGAAAACAACATGCACGAAAACCCCACTGTTTACCAGACAGAGGGAGTTTCTGAAATGTAGTTGGCAATACATTTAGATTTTTTTTTTGTAAATAGTTCTGCTGAATTTCGTGTCTGTTTCTTGTTTCTTCTGAGACCGCGTGCGTCTTTTTGAAACCAGATTTTCATGTGGGCATTCGCACAGGAAGCTGGCAAGGTCAGAGGAAATGCATTTCTCAATCAGAAACTCGTACAAGTGCGTAAAGGGGTGGGTCTGTTTCGCTCAACTAGGTGATACGTTAGTGTCATCACATCACAAGTTTAGGCCTCAGACGGGCAGCTCATACTATCCGGTGGTGATTTCATTGGTGTATATTGTGGTTGTTGCGCCTTCCAGGGATTTGAACTGAGTCAGAACATGTGAAACATGGAAATAATACAAACTGGGGTTTTTTTATGTGTTGTCTAATCCCATCGTCACCACCGCAACATGCTTGTAGGACTGAGGTCACTTCTGCTTGGAGAGACGTTTTTGATGAGTTGTGCATGACGGGGTGGTTACAGTTCAGACTGCAGGACGGCAGAGTGTGGGAGCAACAGGTTAGCTGCGCTCTGAAAGTGAAACATCTCAGCGTGAGCCGGTTGTTTTTTTCTGATGGCACCGACACGTTAGATGTTGTTTCGTCAAACCACGAGCTACACGAGAAAAGCCAGGGGGAACTCAACGCACCACAATCCTGTCAGCACTACTTCAGGTAAAGGCTAACCACTCTTCTGCCACTCTTCTCGGGGCTTTCCAGTTGCCCCCAGAAGGGTTGTGGTACATGTGTGCAGACGGTGCCGCAGACGTTGACAGTTCAAGGAAACTTCAGTCGGGTTCCTGCCAGTGTATACAAGGCAGACATGCCAAAAAAGGGTCACATTTAACACCTAAATCAAGCACTGACATACAAGAAAGCCAAAACAGAAGAAGAAAAAAAAAAGCTGGACGCTCTGCAGTGCAACTTCCCTCTCACCTCTTGTTCCCATTTCAGGTTACTGGTTTTCTTTGTTTTGTTGTAGCCTACAGTAAGTTGCGATAAACAGCATTAGACACAATGTAGGTCACAGCGGTCACATCACACCAAAGAAAAGCAAAAGTGAGAAGTCCCACACCACATAAGAAGAGCATTACAGGGAAATGCAACCACATACAATAAGAAATGCACTGTCATAAGATGCAGGATGTTGATCGAGACTCCTTTTTTGTTTTTTTGCAACAGAATCTCTTTTATTTTGTCTTTGAACTGCACAGGAAATGGTGAATAAAGTTCTTTAGGAAAGTCCCCCTTTATTCTAACTAAATACATCTTTCTATTAACGTAAAAGTCACACAAATTGTAAGGTTCATAATTGTTCTGAAGCTCTCAGGCAAACTTATTCAAGCACCCCAACAGCACTTTTTTTTTTTTTTCTTCCTTTTTTTTTAATGGAACCATTTGTCCACAAGGCTTCAGTTTATATGTGACCAGACAAAAGGCTTTACTGCATCATCAAATTTCAGAAAGTTCATGAAAATGTAAAAGGCTGATAAAATCTAGCGGAGCCACTCAGAAGTTCAGAACACACTCTGGTCGAACGTAACAAATTCAGAATTTTAGGTGTCGACGCGTAAAACAAGAGCGTTTGAGTTCTATTGCCATCGGAAAACTAAACGTCATCGTCTTCCTCCGTTTTAAAAATACTTTGTTGAATTCAGGGGACGCCTTCCACCTTTCAGCCCTGTGAGGAACATGACTAATACAAGTTGTGGCTCTGAAATGAAAAAATACAGGTAGAGAAACACCCGTTAAAACAGAATAACAGGGTTGCATTCAAGACCACCACATCGAACAGTGTTTCAAAAACTGACCCATGATAAAATAGTATTTATTTTTTCATACATATAACTTCATTTTTAGAGGGTTTCACTGCATGGGGCACTCTAAATATGTCATGAGAAAAACTTAGTAGTGTTTTGACTCAGAGGGGGTTTTCAAAATGCTCACATTTTGTAAAAATCAATCATCTCTCCAAGACAAAAAACTACAAGGCTAAAGGTGGTATTAGAAATTAAGCACCAAACAATTATCGTTCCATTCGGTACAAATGGAATAATTGTGCAACCTGTTCAATGACCATAATGAACATGGCGAAAAATATGTAAATCTTATCATTAGACACTAATTACTCAAATGCAATCCAGGACCCACATGTCGTTATGTTTTGCTTTTGTAGGACCTGCAAAAGATCCTCGCACTGATATCGTAAGAAGTCTGTGGTTCCATTCACCAGCATTTATACAATCTGACAGTCTAGTGGTTCGACTTAGCAATATATTGAGCTATTGTATGACCATTTCTCTATATTATAAAAACAAAAACAAAAAAAACAAAATGAAGCAAAAATCTTTATCATTAAGCTCTGTTATCAGTAATAGACCAGTGTCTCTGTATATTCTAGCTATGTTCTCATGTACAAATATTCATATCAAAAATTATACAGCACAATTCTCACCATTTTTCCTTTACAAGAACTTTGATTAGTGAACATTAAATGATTCACACAAGTTTAGATGAACCCAAAACATAATGGTGCCGGCCTCAGTAAGTAAAATATAGATATAACAAACACGTAACTAAAATCTGCTTCAGGCACAACTTAAATAAAGGCATTTGTGAAATTATCATATCAAATATGGCGCTTATGTCCAGTATCCATAGGCTTAAAACAAACAAAAAAAAAAAAACGCTATGACCACTTTTATTTACAAACAGCTAAAATCTCTTGACAGATTCATGCTTCACTTCACAACCTGAATTTGTCCTTAAAGTGCATGCAATAATAAGCAGTTTTTACCAAGTGGGATCTTGAATTGTGTAGAAGATAAAAACGGGTTGATCAAGCTAATGCCAATTGAGTCTACATATCAAAGAAAAGAAAAGATAAGAACCGTTGCCTAGAAAAAAAGTGAGGGACCACAGTATACTGTATGCATAAGCACAATATGGAAGTATGAAAAACAATAAAAAACAAAGTAAAAAAAAAATGAATAAACTCTGACTATCCAGTGACCCCATACAGTAATATTCACATTCAGAGATTAAAACAAAAATAAATAAAACTGATTTAAAAAAAATAAAAAAAAGACAAAGCAGCTTAACACCACGGGGGAGTCCGCAGCTCACATTCCACAATGTCCCTCCATGTAACACACACATTAAGCATCATATGAACATGATGGGTTTCTACTTAAACATATCAAAGTGCCCATTTTACTAAAATTTCCTGATTTATTCAATTCATACCAAAAGGAGGAAATGGCATGGAGGAAAGAGTCTTCTTACTTTGAACACATAGGTTTTTGAAGTTACACTGACTAGGTTTGATTTTTATTGACATGTTGTTGTTGTTGTTGTTGTTGTAGATTCTTTTGTTTCACTTTTCCCCCTTCAAGTTTCACAAAAGAAGCTCTCATTGCACGTAACACCTCGATTCGAAGATGCAATATCTAAGAGAGAAGAAAAGTAAGAGAGAAAGTTATCCAGTTTTGTCACCGTGGACGTGACAAACGGTCAAGTGGACGTGAAAAGGGCACGGATATGTTGTCCTCTAAAGATAAATCCACTTTCATCTGTTGTCTTCTTTGGGGAAGTCCAGAGATCCCAGGCTTCCAAAGCCGAGGCTTCTACTTTCTGTGTCAAAACCGTTAATTTCTCTGTCCTGACGTTCCAACAAGTGCTTGATCTTTTCGGTGCGTTCCTTCTGAAGTGCGGCCAGTTCCTCTTCAATCTGGAATCAGAAACACGTCGTGGTGGTCATTTTGTTGTATGGACACTTCTTCTTTTTTTTTAGCTTGAGTTTTGCAATTTGTGTTTTTTGCCAGTAACTCCAAAACTTTATTAGTAAGATGCTCCAAAAGTTAATCAGATTTTAAATGAGTTTAGCCTGAGGTGGGGAGTTATTCCATCTCAAATCATCAGGCGCCTTTTGCTCGACCATCTCCGATTTTGCTGAAACTTTATAAACTACTGCATAGATATTTGAAAAGATATATGTGAAATTCTAGACTGACATATCAACTACTTTCTGAGACAATATTCTTTAAAAAAAAAAACTGCTCATCAATCCACTTTAAGCACTTTTTTTTTTAAAACAACAATTATTATTTCAGGGACTATTAAAGATAAAAGCCTAATTTTTTTCAGTTTTTTCTCATCATACTATTGATTTGGAACCTGTACTATTGGACAAGAAGATCAAATAGTCTGTGTGTGTGTATATATATATATAGAAGCCACTATGAAAACTTTGAAAAGTCTTTGAGCTCTGAAACATATATAGTTGCATGCCACAATAATACAAAACAAGACATATGCAGTTGTTTTAATTATGAAATACTTGGTCACAAAAATGAAAACAAAATGGACTTTAATTCAACTTTCACAACTGTTTGGGCAGGTATGACAAGTTGTACCACACAAACAATATTACTGGTACATAACCTAATCCAAGCAGAATTCAGAGTTCCAAAATGGTTACTAGTGTCTTTAATATGGGCATATTTGTCATTTTCAGACCCTACAGCAGGGGTGGGCAATCCTGCATGTTTTAGATGTGTCCCTCTTCCAACACACCTGATTCAAATGATCAGCTCATCATCAAGCTCTGCAGAAGCCTGATAACGATCCTGATCATTTGAATCAGAGGGAAACATCTAAAACATGCACGATTGTGGCCCTCGAGGACCAGGATTGCCCACCCCTGCCCTACAGCATTCTGAACCAATGGTATGATAAAAACATAACTGTGAAAATTTCCCACTTTTGTCTTTAATGCTTCCTGAGATCATTGAAACATAGCCTCAGATTTCTGAATAAGTTGGACCTGCAGTTTAAAAAAAAGCTTAATCTCAGATAGTATTTAACACATCCAGCTATGATTTCACAAATATCTTTATAAATATCCAGATTTTATGCTATAAACAGTTCAGGAAAATCAGCGATGGTCGGGCAGAAACCGTTCTAAAAATGTGATGATCTGAGATGGACTGACTCCTGGTACGGTGGAGCAGTGGTGGGCACCGTCCCCACAGCAAGAGGGTCACGGTTTTGAACCTGCTGGTCCACTGGGCCTCCTGTCTGGAGTTTACATGTTCTCCCTGTGTTTGGGTGCTTCAGCTTTCTCCCACAGGCCAAACATGCTTCATAGGTTAACTGCTGGTCTGCTCCAGTGTTTGCTAGAAGAGGCTCCAGCAGGTACAGCTAATGGATGGATGGATGGATGGATGGATGGATGGATGGATGGATGGATGGATAACCGCCTTGCTCCAATGCCACCGCTACATCCAAGATAATTAGTTGGTATTTCAATCCACCAAGAGTTATTCTGCTATTGTAGTTACTGATTATTGGTTAAAATTGTTTTTTTTAGCAAATTTACCAAACACTACCTTCTCTAGCGCCTGGAATGTTAAGACTAACTGTGTCCTCCTGTCAGATATATGTCAGCAAACTTAAAATTTTAGACAGACTAAACAATTTAAAGGTGCATTCTCTGGCTTTAGATGATTTTCTGCAACCATTTTCAGTCACTTTAGAGTCAACAAAATACAAGCAGCATCATTTTACTTGTTCATTAGTGGATGAACTCTTTCCGTTTTGTTATCTGAAATTTCTGCTTTTCACACAAAATATTTCATAATCAAACATAAGATAAATGTGTTTTCTGTGATTCAGTAATTTGTTCATACATATCTCGTAAAACAAAAAAAAGAATGAAATGTGTCCTTGTTTGGTGAAATAACTAGCAAAGTCTAGTTTATTGTAAAGATAAGGAGTTACTACTTAAACTATTTTTGGTTCTAATAAGGTGAGAAGAAAGGAGAAGCAAGATCAAGAGTCAACAGTGAGGCTAGGAGCTTTGTGAAGCTGTACTTAGCAGAGTGACGTTTTCAATTCAATGCCAATGTCAGCAAGGTAAAACGCTACAATGACACTGCAAACATGGTAATGGATAAGCAGGTACAGCATTTACTGTGTTCAACACGTTGCTAACGAGCACTAAACACAGAGTCTAATGGGAACGCCAACAGTTTGGCAGGTATTTAGTCATAAAACCAAACTACTGAACAAATTAAACACCAGATGATGCCCCCCCCTAAATCCAGTGGAAGAGATACATTTGTGCACCAGATTTCTTCACAATTCCTTCAATATTTAAGCACCAACTTCACTGTGTAATTAGAGGAAAAGTCAGGGGAAGTCAAAAGGTTTCTTCCTCTAGAGCAGGGGTGTCGAATCCTGGTCCTCGAGGGCCGCAGTCCTTCAAGTTTTAGATGTTTCCCTCTTCCAACACACCTGATTCAAATGATCAGCTCATCATCAAGCTCTGCAGAAGCCTGATAACGATCCTGATCATTTGAATCAGGTGTGTTGGAAGAAGGAAACATCTAAAACATGAAGGACTGCGGCCCTCAAGGACCAGGATTCGACACCCCTGCTCTAGAGGCTATGAACTCCAGGACAAAATTTCACCACATTCCATCCAATCACTGTTGAGAATTTTCAGTTTCAAGTTTGTTTATCTGCCAGCGTGAATGAAAAGATTTGAACAAAAAATGGTTTTATGCAGACGGCATTGGGGGTCGAAGGAACCTCTGACAAATAGGAAGTCCCAGTTTCCAACACAGTGCAGTCCTTTTACTCACTCTATTGGCGGCTTAGTGACACATGAGCTTCACCAGTTGTGCTCCAACACACATCCACCCTCAACTAAGCAACAGTCAACCAGTAGGCTCTGGTGTTTCCTCGACTGCCTTCCCAACTCTAAACTCCAAACTAGAAGCATCTGCATCTATCTGTGGTGACATCAACTGACAAAACTGCAGCTCTGATAACGTTGTCAGCCTACAAGTTGCCCTTCTGGATGCTGTCTACCTGCATGAGGTCATTTTTATAAAGTGTGGTACCACGCTGCATTTATTTCAAGTATTTTACAACAGCTTTGATCTTAAACCTACCTTCTGTTCAAGGTGCGCTCTCCGTATGGAGACCTTCTGCTCAAGTTTCTGCTGCTCTCGCTCATGTTGGGTCTCCATCTGTGACTTGGTTTTTCTCTGGTAGGCGTCCAGGAGCTCCATCTCTTGCTTCAGCTGCTGTTTCAGAGCTTGGCACTCTGTTTCCTGCTCTGCTTCTAGTCGCATCTAGAGGCCAAGCAGGATAGAGTCGGTCACAAACATTACACATGTTCACCTTAGAGCTGTTAAAAGTTTAGCCTTATTTATCAAACTACAGGACAAAAAAAATCACAAAAGTGGTGTTTAAAGGTCACTATAAACCCTTAATCTGCTTCGAAGAGGAACTTATTGTTTAAATAAAATTGATGAACGAGGCCCACTTTTGCCATTCATGACAAGATGCTTCACAGTCGCCGTACCGCTTGTGAAGCCATCATCTCGTTGATGCTCTGTTCGTACTGCTCAGCCAGTACAGCCAGCTTGCGTGTCTGCTCCTCTTTCAGGCCCTTCAGGATGGTTTTGTGGTCGCCTTTGGGAGACACCTCCAGTTGGTGGTTCCTAAGAGCTTTGTACTGCTTGTTCTGCACCTTGCAAGTATCCTGGAACTGTTTCTTGATCTGCATCTCCAGCGTCTGCAGAGGGGTAAATTGGAGGTGTTAGAGTTGGTTTCATGTGACTTTAGGCAGGTTTGGTTTCTGGCTAAAATTTGCTCCAACACATAGATGCAGAATGAAGTTCAGCATTTAGTTCAAGAGTTAGTTGTGATTCTTTCAATACCGCTCTGAATTTAATTGATTGGTTTGACTTGTGGATGCAAAAACTGACGGTTTCGCCGAGTCCTCAGTCGACCCTTTTCAGTTTGAAGTAAACCACTGCATTTGAAGTTGATAGAGTGGCATAATTAATTACTTTTTTTTGCAACGCCCTTGAACATTTCAGTCGATTTAAGTTAGCTTTTCACCACTGTATTATAAGATGAAGGAAGGAAAGGAGTAAAGATGTAGGTTTATTAAGGCTATAACATATTTTTGGAAGAAGCAGTTCTCGTGGCATCATAGTTAATGTTTTTCTCCAGGTTGGACAACTGAGGAACAGACTAAGAGAGGAGATGTACAGCAGCTGCACATCTTCATTTCCATTTTCTGAACAAACTTTACAAACGTCTTAAAATGAGTTTTTCTAGACGTCTGCTCACTGAATAAGCACATGGACCAAAGTGGCAAAGAGAAAGTTTTCTGCACCTTGAGGTTTCTGGGCTGCTGCCGCTGCTCCAGAGTGTGTTTCCTGTGCAGTTCTCTCTGCCGCCGGCCGTTGTACTCCTCCTGGTTTTCGAGCTCGGTCTGGTGCTGCAGCCGGATGAGTTCAATACGCAGCTTCTGTAGCATCTGCAGCTGCCGGCGCTCCAGGTCCTGGGTGGATTCGTCCTGCCGGATCATCAGGGCATGTTCCATCTCCTTCTGGGTCCTCTTCTTGTTCAGCTCCTGCGACAAGAAGATTGTGGGGCTGGTTGATTGACTTTGTGTCTTAGTACATACTTTGCTTCGTTGCATATATTGTCATGTAAATTCACAGCATTTGACTGGTCTGACTGGTTAATTTCTGGTGTTAAGTGCTTACCTTTTCAACTTCACATGTTTGTTAGGCATTTCTGCTACACACAGATGCAGACGACATACTGCTTTACATTGGAGATGTTAGATTATAATTGCAGGGCTTTTTCTTTTAGGAAACCATTTAATGCCTTGTTCAAATCCTTTTCCTTGTCCAATAGAAGGTTTGTGCTCAGCAAAAATCCCAAATCTTACTTGTCTACACATTCACAATGTTGTTTATTTTTGTTTCATGAACGTTTGTGAGAATTTTCACAATGTTGTTTATTTTTGTTTCATGAACGTTTGTGAGAATTTTAAGATATAACTTTATGCTGGCATCTTGTCAATGATATTTTTCAGTAGCTGAAGCAATTAAAGGATTTATTGAACCTATACAACAGATTATTCATACTTAAACTGGTTGTTAGCTTCAGCCTGATACTTTAACAAAAAAAAAAAAGTCATTATAAGGATTTTGTGGAACCTGTTTTGGTAATCACATCCACAGTGTGTCACAAAATGTTCTTGTGTCCAAATACCTTCTAAAAACAGCAACAACACGATGTGAGGAAATTGCACTACCTCTCTTAGTTGCTCCTGTTCAAACTCATGCCTCCTGACCAGACTCCGGCGTTTCAGGGCCCTACAGCTCCGGTCGTAGACCAGCCTCTGTTGGGCCAGAAGATGAGCTTCCTCCTCAGCCTGAGAGCGCTGCATTGTTTCTTTGTGCCTCGACAGACGCTCCTGTTTTTCCTCCTTGGGTGTACAAGGGTCCTCATTCATCTCCTACACCGGGACCAGAACAGAGCGAATGAAGTTTGCATGATGATGTGAAGACATTCTTATGTTTCAAGATACAACGTCATTGACTTAATTGTTCAGAATAATTACATCCTTGATCTTCTCTTTGCAAATCCTGTATTCCTTTTTCTGGTTCTCTAAGAAAGAAGTCAGCTCTTTCTTTTGCTGAGCAACAATCTGTTGCTGGATCCGCCTTTCTTCTGCTGCAACTGACTTCATCTGTGAAGAGACATTAAAATAATTGAATATGATCACCCTGTATTTCATGCCTGCCCTAAAGTACACACACACAAGTTTGACTTGAAGAGAATCAACTCACTCTTCAGATTCCTACTCATTCACAACTAACACCTGCTGTACCTCTTTGTCTGTTTGAGCAGCGTGCCGTTTGGCCAGTCTTTCCAGCTCAATGTAAGTGTTGTTCGCATGTGTCTCTAATTCCTTCTGCAGCCGGAGCCTATGCTCATCCATCTCGGCCTTTAGCCTGTTCTCCAGGGCGATCAGCTGCTTCTGGTGCTGTCGCCGCATGCGCTTATACCCAGACATCTGCTCCCGCAGCTCAAAGTCCTGCTCATGCTCCTGGATCTACCTGATGCCCTGGACAGGAGGAAGAAAGAAACTGAGCAGGCACAAAGGAGCAACTTCACACTGTACAGAGGTAAACAAAAAAAAATCTGCAAACTAAGCTCAGATTACTACACATCCAACAGGATAACACCTCTGTGGTTTCATCAAGCCACTTCACTTCTGATGAATAAGTAGCACTCCTATGTGACACCACTACTGGACTCGAGATCAAACAGGACAACAATGGAGAGACTACGTGGACGTGCACCTTTTACGATCCATGACAAAAAAGCCCAAACCTCGCTGGTGAAAGACAGCAGGCAGCGGAGATTTACATGGAATACATATAAATGCAATGCACACACATAAAAGCAGAGGCAGAGAGGGAAGCTGAGGATGGAGGAAAAAAAAAAAAAATGACATCCATTAACAGGATCCGGTTGCCATGACTACAGATGTACAGCTGAGAACACAGACACCCCCTTCCCTCCCTCCCCATCCCCGCGCCGCCAAGTACGCGCGCATACACACACACACACACACACTCTCTCTCTCTTTCTGTCACGCACACGCGCACACACTAATAACCCACGCGCACACGTTTTTTTTTTTTTTTTTTTTTTTTATGCAAACGGTTTGGAGAGAGGGAGCTGCGTACCAAAGATGCTGATTTGATGGTGGCAATGTGTTCACAGATCTTGCAGTCGAGAGACCGGCTCTTGTGAGAAGTAGGCCGCAGCTCTGGCCTGGTGTCCCTGTGCACAGCCTCATCCCTCACGCAAGCATGGTCCTGCAGGGGGGGAGGAAAAGGAGGAGATAGTGGGGCTGGGTGCTTCCCAGGCCCTCCGCACTCGCTGTTTCTGCTAGAGCTGCTGTTACTGCCGAATCTCCCTGAATGCAGCACACATCCAGCGTTAAATGCATCCTTCCCCCGCTTGTTCCCCTCGCTACTGTCTGCAAGTCCTTCCTAAGAGAGAAAAGGGCATTGCCAAACAATTGCAGGCACCACCGAGAAGGCAGCCACTGGATGAAGTCGGGTTCTTTTTTTTTTTTTTTTCTTTCCTTTTTTTTTTTTTTTTTTTTCTGGCGTCCCCCTCTTTCCCAAAGAGGAGGAACCAAATGGCTCCGGTGGATAAGGGTGAATTATGCAATGCCTACCATTGATAATCGGAGAAAGATACCACAGGGATGCAATTTACTGCCACTCTTCTTTTCCGTTTCAGAATGCAAGAGAGATTTGGGAGGAAAAATAGTTTCCCTGTGTTCCTATGATCGCGTATGGTGCCATGTTTAAAAATATTTGGATCAGATAAGGCACATCCGAACATGGTTTTCCCTCGAATCTGTCGCCGGATGATCCGTTTGTATTCCACTCGAATTTCTGTCCTACATTTACAGCGCACTTGGTCATGGTAGGTGGTTCTGGTGCCTTCTATTCATCTCTTTCCTCTGTCCCTCTTCTACACTCCCCCTTCCTTTAAAGAGACACCACAATACTACAGGCACATCTCAACGAGCTGAAGTCATCTCACACCGGAGCAGATCTTTTAAAAAAATGACATCATTAATACTATGATAAAAATAATGTCCACTAGTAGACGATAAAGAAAGAAAAAAAAACCCAACACAACCTGTGTTTGTTTGGGGGGGAAAAAAAGTTGTATCAGCAATGCATTCTTACTTAGACACATGTTCACCAAATTCTGTCTTTTTAAAATTCTTATAATATAATAATATATATATTTCGAAATAAAGCAACCATGATGCATTTTATACTTTGTTTTAAAATCTGTCAAAACATGTTTTTTGTTCGAGATACTGTATTGGAGAATAATTAAATTATTTAAAATATAACTCTCCTGTGTCTGTATCTATGAGCAATACATGTGTTTTGCAGTAATATTCAAACAAAAAGGCTAAAATTTTAATTTTTTTGGTATTATTATTATTTTTGCTATTTTTATAATTCCTGTCATTACTCCATGTGGCCGCTGGGGGGCGACAGAGACAAACATTTGGATTTCTCTCTCCTTGGTGCTGAATATTTCTTCGTATATCGCGTCACGCTACGCTACTGCTACTCATACCAAATACTCCGCTGATACTACCTCGACCGCTACGGCGAACGCCAAATACATCTCGGTAACCTCGCGATGCTCCCTGGCAACCGACTGGAATATCCATGGCAACCACCACCTACAGTTTACCAGGCACCTGCAACCACATGAAGTCCATCTGCAGGTCATTGATTGAACCCTTGAAAATTCATCTCCATATATTAAAATCACATATTTAGCATTTTTTGAACCATGAAAATAACCCCTTTCAAACCTAAAAATAAGTTGGATTCTCGCACCTCTACCCATTCATTGCAGCTCAAGCACACCAGCTCGCCCACGACTCTGCTTGAACAATGTAAAACTACACAAAGGCAAGTTGTCATATTGGAGTCATTTAACCGTCATTTAACTGATTTTGAACACAAATAATAGGCGGTTTTCCACTGACGGAACTCGGGGCGGCAAACTTTTACAGGAACCGAGCCCTGTTTGGGCCTTTTTCAGCCTTTCTGTTTCCATTGTTGGGTAGGATCCAACAATCTTCAACTGTGATGTGAGTGTGTTAAAACAACAACAAGTAGTAGTTATTGGACGTGACTCCAGTTCTGAGCACAAAGGAAATAGAACAGTGGAGGGGGTTGTTATGTTCGCCTATATAGTGAATTATATGTTGAAGACAGCTACCTGGCAAGGACATTGGCAGGACTGAAAAATAGGCATTTGTTGTCCTGTTTGAATGTAAGCAGTCATCATTTGCCTTCCTCGAATTTAACCAATCAGTGTTAAGATCCACAAAGTAGTTTTTAAGAGCTGATCAGAAGCACCTATTGTGAAGTCGGTGCTTTTTATCTCCGCCGAAAAGGGTCTACAGTGGCGGTTCTTGCGGTCGAAATAATGTTTGAATGTTTGAAAATGATATGCAAGTTCCTGCAGAGGCAGTCGTGGCACTGACTACTTATTTAGCTCATAACATGTCTTCCAGAATATACAAACTGCCATGTGGGCATCTTAACAAGGGCAAAAACTGGGTTTCCAATGGAGGGGATCTTTGCAATCCACCTACCAACCCTACGGATCATGCTTAGTTAGGAGCTACATGGAAATACAGGCCAGACTTTCAAAATACCAAAAAAGAAAGCCACCTACCAGAAATCTACCATAATAACTTATAAATGACAGGACTGACCACATAGCAACCACTTACACGAATCATCCATCCATCCATCCATCCATCCATCCATTATCTATACACCGCTTAATCCTCACTGGTGTGGGGGGGCTGGCAGGACGAAGGCAGGAGACACCCTGGACAGGTCACCAGTCTATCACAGGGCTACACTTAGAGACAGACAACCAAGCACACTCATATTCACACCTGCAGACAATTTAGAATCATCAATTAACGTCAACTTTTGGACTGTGTGGGAGGAAGCCGGAGAACCCAGAGAGAACTCACGCTGCACTGCAGAAAGATCCCGGGTGTCCTCACCGGGACGCAAACCAGCGACCTTCTTGCTGCGAGGCAACGGTGCTACCAGCTGTGCCACCTTGCAGCCCTCACCCCATCTAGCTTTAAGATTTTTATTTTGTCCTGGAAAGTCCAGTAAATGCATTTATATTGGCTTATTTCCTGTTGTTGACTGTGAGGTTTATGAAATGGCAGGTAAAGAAGTTTCTGTTAACTCATTGTCTGTGATGATTTCAAGATGTTTTAATCTTTTCATTAAAAAAACAAAACAAAGAAGAAACAGACTCATCATTCATAAAATAGAAGATTCCAGGACAAAAGTATGATAAGATATATTTTTTTTCCTCCCAAAAGTTTCGCCCCAAACAAATTCAGTAATTTATTAAATCAAAACAAGAACAGGAAAGTGTTTGTTGTGAAGAGCTGGTGAAGTGTCAGCACAGGCATTTAACCTCCATCACAGATGCACAGTGGGGATGCTTTGAAAAATCACATCATAGATAGTTTTTGTTTATCAATTAGCTTCATACAAAGATCAGTAAAGAGAAAACTTGATGAAACATGATGCTGTGACCAGAGATCCTGGTTTTTCTTGCCACTGAAGTTAGCTCTTCATGACTCTGGTCGTGTGTTTGGGGTTGTTGTCATGCTGCAGGATGAATTTGATG